TTGCTTCAAAGGGGCTGTGTTGGCCACGGTCATGGCATTTGCCATGGCCTGGCGTGGACTCTGCTAAATCTCTTTACTTATACACGATGGAGCGTACTAAGGACACGGTCATGGTGCTGAACACAGCCAACCCGTGTACTCGTCTGACTTGCACGAAGGTGTCCATCTTGTAGCATTGTATGAACACATACGTGGCATGTGACATGACTAGCCTGTGTTCTTCCCTGACTTGCCTTTTGAATTGCGCCTCGGTGACACGGTGGTGGCGTTTGCACGGCCAGGCCGTGTAGTCTCTTGACTATCACCTTTGAGCTCCTGCAGTACATATAATTTAGTTTGAAATTAGAGGAATAAAGAGAAAAATAAAAACAAAAATATATTGATTAACAAAATTAAAATAAACAAAAACGTAAGGAAGTAAAAGAAAACATGTGTTGTCTCCCACAAGTGCTTTTGTTTAACGTCATTAAGCTCAACTTAGTGGTGCCTTTTTAGGCAAGACTTATAGCAGTCTTGACTGGATCAAAACCTCCATCGTGGTAAGCTTTTCACCTTTGAGCATTAACTTTGAAACTCCAATCTCCACTAACTATTTCAATCACTCCATGTGGGACAATTTCTTTAATTGTAAACGGTCCAGACCACCGAGAACGTAATTTCCCAGGAAAAAGATGGAGTCTAGAGTTATAGAGGAATACCTATTGCCCGACCTTCAGATTCCTCAAAATAATATGCTCATCATGCCACTTTTTATTATGATCTTTATAAATCCTGGCATTTTCATAAGCATATAGTCTCATTTCATCCATCATGTTCAACTAAAGTAACCTCTTCTCACCTAACTCTTTGGCATTAAAATTAAGAAACTTAATTGCCTAATATGCCTTATGTTCCATCTCGACAAGTAAATGACATGCCTTACCATAGATCATGCGATACAGAGACATACCAATTGGCGTTTTGAATGCAGTTCTATAGGCCCAAAGTGCATCATCGATTTTCTTGGACCATTCCTTTCTTGATTAACCAACTGTAGTCTCTAATATTTTCTTGATCTCCCGATTTATCGCTTCTACTTGTTCACTTATTTGTGGATAATATAGGGTACCTACACGATGAGTAACACCATATTTTAAAAGAAGAGAGTCTAAGTACTTATTGCAAAAATGCTTATCTCCATCCATGATTATTGCCCTAGGGGTGCTATGCGTGTAAAAATGTATTTCTAGATGAAGTTTATCACACTTTTGGCATCATTATTGGGAAGAGCAACAGCCTCTGCCCATTTAGAGACGTAATCTACTACCACTAAGATGTATTAGTTAGAAAAAGAAGATGGGAATGATCCCATGAAATCCAAACCCCACACATCAAAGATCTCCACTTCAAGAATGTTGTCTGATGGCATCTCATGTCTCTTGGAGATAGTCCCTCACCTTTGGCAATGATCACAAAGATGAATAAAGTTAAAAGCTTTTTTATATAAGTTAGGCCAATATAAATTGCTTTCTAATACTCGTGTCACTGTTTTGCTTGCTCCAAAATGTCCTCCATATTCCATTGAATGACAAAAACAAAGAACACTTTCCATCTCTTCTTCCAGTGCACATCATCGAAAGAGTTAGTCACTATAATACTTGAACAAGAATGGATCCTCCAATAGTAACATTTAAGATCATAAAAGAATTTTTTGTCTTTTATTGATAAGAAAGGTTAGGAGGAATAATCTTGATAGTTGACTATATCCACATACCATGGGGCCTATATACTTGTTAGAAGAAGAAGATGTTCATGGGGAAGTCTTCATTAATTTGTATCGCTTCAAGCTTTTCTTCCCCTAACTCAAACCTCGACAAGTGATCAGCTACAAGATTCTCAGCTCCTTTCTTATCATAAATCTCCAAATCAAACTCCTGTAAAAAAGGAACCCGACAAATTAGTCTAGGCTTTGCATTTTTCTTTTCTAATAAATATTTAATTGTTGAATGATCAATATAAACTATTGTTTCAGCTCCAATTAAATATGCTCTAAATTTATCAAAAGCAAAAACAAAGCTAGAAGCTCCTTCTCAGTGGTGGTATAATTTAATTGTGCATCATTCAATGTATGACTCACATAATAGATGACGTGCAACTTCTTTTCCTTTCTTCCTAAGAACAACTCTTATTGCATGATCACTAACATCACACATGAGTTCAAAAGGTAGGCTCCAATCCGTTGTTGCAATGATAGGAGTTGATATCAATTTCTTCTTCAAACTGTTAAAAGCAACTAAACACTTTTCGTTAAAATCAAAATGAGCATCTTTAACCAATAAATTACAAAGAGATTTTGTGATTTTTTAGAAGTCTTTGATAAATCTCCTATAAAAACTGGCATGGGAAAAAAAACTTCTTACCCCCTTTACTGAATTTGGAGGGAGTAGTTTCTCAATTACATCTAACTTGGCTTTATCAACCTCAAATCCCTCTTTGGAGATTTTATTCCCTAATACAATACATTCACTAACCATAAAATGACATTTTTCCGATTGAGAACAAGGTTAGTATCTTCACATCGTTGCATCACTAGAGAGAGGTTATAGAGACAAGTGTCAAAGGAAGAATTGAAAATTGAAAAATCATCCATAAATACATCAATGAATTTTGCAACCATGTCAGAGGATATGGACATCATACACCTTTGAAAGTCGCAAGTGCATTGCACAACCCGAAAGGCATTCTCCTATAAGAAAAAGTACCATAAGGGCAAGTCCAAATAGTCTTCTCTTGATTCTTGGGAGCTATAGGTATTCAGAAATACCTTGAATAACCATCTATGAAACAACAATAAGGATACCCTACAAGTCTCTCAAGCATTTGGTCAATAAAAGGCAAAGGGAAGTGATGTCTGCGTGTTGCTTTGTTTAATTTTCGATGATCAATACACACACGCAACCTGTGACAGTTCCAGTCGGAATCAACTCATTATTTTTATTAGAAATAACTATCATACCTCCCTTCTTTGGAACGGCTTACGCGGGGCTTACCCAACTAATATCCGAGATTGAGTAGATGATACCTGCATCAAAGAGCTTAATGATTTCAGCTTTTACTACCTCCTTCATGTTTGGATTTAATCTCCTTTCATGCTTGATTAAAGGCTTGTAGTTATCTTCCGTCAAAATATTGTGCTTGCACACACTTGGATTGATCCCTTTTAAATCTGAAATAGTCCACCCTAAAGCTTTCTTATACTTTCCTAAAACCTGCAACAACTTTCCTCTTGATCAAGTGATAAGTGAGAAGAAATAATAACATGTAAAGAATTATTCTCACCTAAATATGCATATTTTAAATGTGAAGGAAATTATTTCAATTCTTACTTAGGTAGTTCACTTTTTTCCTCACTTTTGATGCATTGTATGTTAATGTTTATGTCACCTTTATCTATGGCCAATTTATCTTTAACATGCGAGTTGTCTTTTACACAACCATCAATAATATCAACTCTAAAACAATCATTAGAATCCACGGGATATTTACAAGATTTAAGAACATTAACAACAACCTCCTCTTAACCTACCCTTAAGGTTAACTTACCCTCATGGACATCAAACAAAGCTCTCTTGGTTATAAGGAAAGGTTGACCAAGGATGAGTGATCCTTCTCTATCTTCATCTATATCAAGTATAACAAAATCAACTGGAAAAATAAAATTACCTACCTTGACAAGCACATCTTCTATAATACCTCTTGAATATTTGATTGATCGATCTACTAGCTGTAGAGACATCCTTGTAGGTTTCTGCTCACCCATTCTTAGCATCTTGAAAACTTCATATGACATAAGATTGATGCTTGCACCTAAATCAACTAAACCTTTTTCAAAATCAAGATTTCCAATATTGCAAGGGATAGAAAAACTTCCTGGATCTTTTAACTTTGGAGGTAATTTGTTTTGAGTGAATGCACTACACTCCTCCATTAACATTGTTGTTCCTTGATCATCAATCTTCCTCTTCTTAGAAAGGATCTCCTTTAAGAACTTCATATGGCTGGGCATTTAAGTAAGAGCTTCAGCAAAAGGACTGTTTATTTAAAGCTTTTTGAAGACATCAAGAAATTTGAGGAAGCTTTTATCATCTTTTGTTTGCTTGAGCCTTTGTGAAAAAGGGATAGGTGGAACATAAGGCTTATCTTCCTCTTTCTCTTCAAGATCAATGATGGGAGTCTTCTTCTTTTCCACTTCTTGCTTGTCTAATTCCTTTCTAAGTGGATCCTCTAATTGCTTCCCATTCCTCAAAGTGATAGCTTGTACCCATTCTTTAGGATACTTCTCAATGTTACTAGGTAATGTACCTTGAGGTCTAGAAGCCATCATATTTGCAAATTACCCCATTTGGATCTCCAAATTCCTTATCGCAGCTTGTTGGACTCCATGAATTTCTTGAGTTTCATTTATGAATTCTATGTGAGATTTAGAAAGAGCATTGAGAAGATGATCGTGCGTCTTTTTCTCTTAAGGAAAACCTGGTGGTGCATTTCAAGGCATTGTTCAGATTCTCATAAGAAAGATTAGGATGATTCTGTAACCTGTGATCATAAGAGTTAAATTATGGGTAATTTTCCTTCCTTGATTCAACAAGTAGTTTGCTTGCTCCAAAGTTTGAGCCTTAAGATTGTCCATCACACACTTCCCAACTCCATATTGTCCATTACACCTGTCACATGTTTGCAAAATAGAATTAACAGAGTTAATGGTCAATAAATCTAATTTCTTTACCATATTGTCTACTTTAGCATTTAATGCGATGATGGCATCAATCTTATAAATTCCTGCAGGCTTCTTTCTTTCGGAGGCATTTTGGTAATGGTTATTGCTTGCCATCTCTTCTAACAAAGCATAGGCCTCGTCAATCCCCTTTCTTTCAAAAGAACCTCCAACAACAACATCCAAAGTTATCTTCGTGTTACGAGACAATGCATTATAGAAAGTTTGAACATGTAACCACTTGGGTAGGTTATGGTGTGGACACTTCCTCAACAAATCTTTGTACCTCTCTCAAGCTTTAAACAAACTCTCTTGAACATGGTGAGCAAAGGTCATTATCTCATTTCGAAGCTTTATGATCTTGGAGGATGGAAAGAATTTCGCCAAAAATTTTCAAGCTAGTTCTTCCCAAGTAGTAAAACTTCCAGTAGGGCATAATTGCAACTAAGAACACCCTTTATCCCTTAAAGTGAAAGGAAATAGTTTCAATTGTATGGCATCTTCAGAAACTCTGTTTTGCTAGAATGTATCACAAATCTCCATGAAATTTGTGATGTGTGCATTAGGATCTTCACTAGGCAAACCCTATACTAAATCAAGGTGGAGAGCAAATGAATAATTGTCGGCTTGATCTCAAAATTGATAGCTTCCACCCTAGGCGTGGTGATACTGGAAGTGGCCCCACTAAGAGAAGGGGTTGTGCAATCTCACAAGGTGCGAACAGCAGGTTGAACCACTTGATTGAATTTATTTTGCGGATTTGGTTATTCTTCCAATAGTGGATTCTCCAAGTGTGTTCTCGTTGTCTACCTCTTCTCATAGCATTATTTCTATGGCAAGTTCTTTCGATTTCTGGATCAAAACCTAGAAGTTCAACTCTACAAGATCTTCTTTGCAAGTGTACGAAATCACAAACAAATAATAAAGTGTGAGTAGAGTATTGTCCCACGAAAATTGTGAACGAGAACCAAAATTATGTTATCCTATTATTATTTAAACAAAATAAGGAGAATAATTTTAAGAAATAAATTTAAAAAAAATGAAAGAGAATAAAAAGAAATCAAGCAAGATAATTTGATGATAACAAATCAAGGATTAAAGACTATTAGGGATTTTGACTTCACTTAATTCTATCCAGTTTATCCTATTAAAGATAATTTGATGATAACAAATCAAGGATTAAAGACTATTAGGGATTTTGACTTCACTTAATTCTATCCAGTTTATCCTATTAGTTTGATAATCAATTTTTAATTGTTCAAGGGGAAACAACCCTAAAATCACTAACAAGTTCTCCCAATGTATTATTAGCTATTTTAACCCGGTCTAATTATCTATTTTCCAATAGCGCAATCAAACATGAATTAAATCATTAAGTTTTATGGTTATTTATGAATTCATAATCTAAGAATGTTAATTTATGAAAACCCCTATGAGTCAAACCATATAGCTTCTGCATCAACATAATAATTTAATTTAGGAGTGAAAATGAGCCGAGCCGAGCCAAATATGCTACTATTTTGGCGTGGCTCGACCAATACATTGTATTGTTTGAGATTGGCTTAAGCTCAAGCCATTTTTAAAGAAGTTTGATCAAGCTCAGCTCAAATTACAATAAGTATTATTGAGCTCGGCTCATCTAACTTGGTCATAAAGAAGCTTCTAAAGAATGACTTGATAATGGCTTTATATGTGACGTGATTGTGCAGTTGTAGTTTGAGTTGACATGATGTGATAGTATCAGAATTCCATTTGAGTTGTAGTTTGCTTTACTTTTTTTTCTCCTAATTTCTCTTTAACCGTACATCTCCTTTTGCATAGATAATTGGTAAAGGCACAGCAGGTAAAAAAAAACTATGCTACTTGTATTCCATGCATCAACTAGTTGTAATATTTAAATAATTTATTTTTAAAAAATCAATAAAACTCGTGAACATCCAAGTCGAGCTTTTATTTTTTCATGCTCGGCTCGTTTGTAGTTCAAGCTTATGTTTCTAATCAATCTTGGCTCATGTACAATATGAATGGATTTGAATGAGCCGAAAACCGAGCCGAGCTCAAGCCGATCTCAAACTACTCAGATCATTTTACACTCCTAATTATATTAAACTCAAATAAACTTGTAAATAATTCCATAGTCAACATGAACATTGAAAAATAAAACAAGATTAAGAATCTAGAAATAAAAACTAGTAAACGAATAGCGTGGATGGCTTCCTTGAATTTTTACACAAACTTGAATGTTCGAAGTCTTAAAAGAAAGAAAACTATATAATAGAGCAAAAAATTTAAAATCCAAGATAAGAAAATTGTTGTAGTGATCTATCTTTATATATACTTCATAGGGTGTCGTTGAGTCTAAGTAGGAAACTAGCTGGCCTCATTAGGAAGAAATATGATTTGATTAGAAAACTGATTTAATCTAGTATTTCTTCCCAATTATGAGTCTCCTTTGATAAAATAGGGCTGAAACTCAAACAAGGTAGGTGTTCTACTATTTCCCTTGCAGCTCCATGCACAAGACATGCCCAGGCTTCAATTCTTACACTTGCTAAATAATTAAATTTGGCCACTTGAAATTTCAACTATCTTGGAGATACGTCACACGGCCATGTTTAGCTCTTATTTTCTATTTTCAGCGCCAACCTTCTTTGATGCAAATCTTTGCTAATTTCCTGCTAAAAACTTATAAAAACAAACTCTTCAAATCAAGCTTAGTAAAAATCAAGAAAGCTTTTTTTAAAAATATAAATAAATCAAAATAAAAATTAAATAAAATAATGAAAAAATCATACAAATCGTAATAAAAATTATATTAGAAAAAACTATAAAAATAACACCTATTACATCGCATTAAAATATCCTAATAAAAATCAATTGATAAACAACATATGCCACAAGAAAACAAAAATTTGTATTTTGGGCAAATAGACATCTTAATATTGCATTATAATATTTCAAACAATTTGTAATTCTAGAACATTCAATTTGAACATTGCTAAAACTAATCCTCAAATACACTGAAATAATGAATCGATCATTAACATTATTCATTGAAACCTCTTGACTACCAGAATTAAGTAATTGAAAGAAACGGCAAAATAATGCACGATACTGAAATTTATACGCACAAAAAATTACTTACTTTTCAATACTAATATTTCTAGTGAATAATTAGTGAATCATTTCTTTCTCATACTCATTTTCAAGGGATTCATAATTTGTAAAATTACTTATATTAAATGAAAAATACTTTGTAAAATTAGTGATATTAGATGGAAAAGGAAAAGGTAGTAAGATACATATATGTAAAAAATGAAAGAATGAAAACCTATATTAGGGATTAAATAATAAATGAAGTTTAGAATAAAAAAGTTTCATATGTTCTCCCTGTTCTAAGAATAACAAACATCATAGTGAATGAGACAAATATATAGGAATAAAGTCCTACTACCAAAAAATTGACGATACTAAAAATTAGTTCATAATTAAAAAGGAATATAATGATTAGAATAACATATGAAAAAACAAAAAAAAAAGTTACCTTTTTTATATGAGAAATGTGTCCAATGGCTAATAAACACAAAGGTAAAATTAAGTTTAAGTAAAATTAGAAGGAAAAAAAAAAAAAAAAAAAATTAAGTAAAATTAGAAAGAAAAAAAAAAAAAAAAAAAAAAAAAAAAAAAAAAAAAAAGAGCAAAGAATCAGATTGAGAAATTACTTGTTATGGATACAAGCAACTCATACAAAGCTTCCCAAAAAAGTCCTTATAGAATGCAATAACGCTTATGATTATTCAATTCTAATTAAGCTCTCAATCCTCAAAATTTAATTATTAGTTACTAAAAAAAATCAGGAGTTCCATGAATAATCAAAACATGCAATTTTGGATCATCAGCTTTAATATCTAGCAATTCAGTATAAGCATAAAATAAAATATGACATAGAACTGTGAATATTCTAGAATATTTATTTTTCTTGGAGTGCAGTCATCAAATTTGTATAACAATAAAGATATTTAGCTGGAGTTGTGCCTGGCACAACATGAATCTCTATATATAGAATGTTCATGGTTAGATGATACTGAATTTGAATTTAAAACTTACATTTTCTCTCCTGCTTTAATTATGGGAATCTGACAAAACCTCAGCCCCAAATAAAGTACTTCAATATAGTTTGATCAAATACAATCCCATCACTCGGATGCCTAACCTCCAAAATATTTTTCCCCAACACATGCAAGCCTTTTATCGTTGATGACATATATTCTCTGGTGGAGGAAAAAACTGCCGGCGAAGGTTCCTTAGGTAGCCGTTGGGCGCCTCTATTGCACCGAGCTCGCCAGCTATTGGTCACTGCTAGGGGAAGCTTGTGCTGGGCCTCTACGCCCTATGTGTCGTCGTTTTCATGATTTAATAGACTATCTCTTTTATGGGCTGGATCCCTGAAGACCTTTCTCCTTCTATGTATCTCCTATTCCATAAAAGTGTACGATTCCATTAATTTATTCAAATCAAACTGCATGCTACGTATTTAAATTTCGAAATTTTTATTTTTGTGGACAGGGGAGGCTACACAGTATTGATTAACACCTAGAAGGGAAATTTGCTTCTTAAGCAATCTGTCGCTCACTACGCGTCCTGTGATGGCACCGATGCAATACATGTGGTTTGGAGTACGCCTGATTAACCATCGGAGAACTTGCAAACTTCATAGACGGTCCTCAAACCCAACTTAAGTCTATTATAGGTTTAAGTCTATTATCAAATTCCCATCATCAAAGTAGAAGATAGTATAAATTTCAAATTTAAATTCAATATTGCTCTCTATAAATTAAAAATCATGAAAGATATTATGAATATTTCATCTATAGATATTCTAGTTGAGTTAGGTTCAACTTGAACTATTTAGCATCGCTATTTATACGAATAGAGATATATAATATTATAAATGACACAAATTCCAAGACACATAAACTTGAATGGAATAACATTTATTATCTCTCTCTCTCTCTCTCTCTCTCTCTCTCTCTCTCTCTCTCTCTATTATCTCTCTCTTCTCTCTTCTCTCTCTCTCTCTCTCTCTCTCTCTCTCTCTCTCTCTCTCTCTCCTTTTTACTGCTTAATCTTAATGAAAATAATCAATACAAAATATAAATATTAAAAAACCACTGAGATATAAAAATTCAAAGTTAATGTCAAGAAATTAGATAAAAGTAGAAAATTATTTTTCTAATTTTTTATTTATTTCAATATTTTAAATTTTGAATTTGTTACTAGAACATTCTGTTCAAAAAACTTATATTTTAAAATGTGAAAATATTTTTTATTTTGTTAAATAAAAATTAAATTTAATTACCGAAAATAAAAATATAGTTTTCAATTGACCCTAAATTCAAATTGAACTTGATTGAACACAATAGAAATAAATCAGGGTCCAACATAAAGTAAAAAATTTTCTCAAAATCTATTTCAAAATATTATCACTTCCAAAATTGCAAATTAGAATAAAAATACTAAGAAATTTAAAAATAAGATGCAATTATAACTCGCAAAATTTCAAAATTTCCAGTACATAAATCTATTAAACCTAAAACAAAGTATGGGTTGTGTATAAACTATATTAGCTATCAATGAAGTACGAGAGGTTCCATTTTCAGAAGCATCAAGTGCTTTCTCTGCTCTGATATTTCCAGCAATTCTCCATTACATTACAACCTACTAAATATGCTCAAACCTCAAGTTGTGTTTCAAGCTAGACAACCTTTGAACCCTCTTCTAAGAGCACTTTCATTCAAATTCTTTCCTATGAAGACAAGCTTGTTTATTCTCTTCTCATTGAGTCCCCATGGCTTGCCATGGCAGCCATCTAATATAGAATGCACACCCTGATAGAAACAACATTAGGAAAGAAATCAATTTAGAGAACCACTAATGTATTATTGGAATCCAAACAATAACACAAAAAAAAAAAAAAAAATAAACACAAAAAAAAAAAAAAAAAAAATAGTACCATGAAATATTAACGTCCGATCAGAATCAGTTCCGATAATACCCTTTCATTCTGTAACAAGGTCCTCACCTTTTCCTTCAATCAACCTTCAAGCCAATCAATCAACCTGAAATCAAAATTTTTGAAAACCCAACCCTAGTTAAATGTAAAGAATCATTGATGTCACTATCTAAAATTTCTTTTCAACAAGTCCATCAATTAACATAAGAAAGCGGCACAAACTACAATACAAAAAAAAAAAAAAAAAAAATAGTACCTGAAAAATATAACGTCGATCAGAATCAGTCACCGATAATACCCCTTTCATTCTGTACAGGTCCTCACCTTTTTCTTCAATCAACCTTTCAAGCCAATCATCAACCTGATCAATTGACAACCCTAGTTAATGTAAAGAATCATTGATGTCACTATCTAAAATTTCTTTTCAACAAGTCCATCAATTACATAGAAGCGCACACTACAATACAATTTATTAGTCGGAAAGAATATTCAAACTGATGAGGAGGATGGCAATTGTTAGTAAAAGCAAAAAAGTAAATCAGATCAAGCAATGAAGCAGCAAGAGCAGGTGAAGGTTATTGGAATCAAGCTAACCACCTCTCCTCTATCAATAAATATTACAACTGAAAAATAACAATCCCCACCTAATAACTTAAGTCGCTTTCCACATCAACTCCAGCATCACCACATACTTCTTACCCCATCCAGCACTTCCAAGTTTCCAATCTCTCTTTAAAAACAGATGGTTTATTTCCTTATATATATGTCACCAATTGTCTCTCTAAAAACACAACAGAAAACATCCTTTACACTAAAAATAGATGGAGCCAGAGTCCCCAGAAATCCTATTTGTGAAGGCCCAATGTCTTCAAAGACATGAATTACATCTAACTGATAATCAAATGTCAAGAAATATGAATTTTTGTTGAAAAACCCAGCCTATGGAACCTAACTCTCCCTCATCATCACTATAAAGCTGTGACACTTTTGTTATCACACTAGCAAATTATTTTGATAATTTTTTGATTTAACTGTAATGAAACATGTGAAGGCATGGTCTACAGTAAGTAGCGCTGTAAATGAGCCAAGCCGCTTGTGAGCTGCTCGAGTATTTGGTAGTTTAGTTGTTGACTAGGAAATATTTCCTCTCCCTATGAGAGGGAAGCTGTGGTAATAAGAAAGTCTGGAAAAAAAGAGAGGGAGAGAGAGAGAGAGAGAGACAGAAGGAAAATTCTTGCGAGAAAATTTTGTTAGAAATGAAGAAAAAGAAAAATTGTGTTCTTCGTTTTCATGTTCTGAGCACTTTTTTCTTGTTTTTCTGTTTGTTTTATCTCCCCTTCTCTGACAAACTGTTTAAGAGCCCCCCTGATCTTCGAGGAAACTGTTTAAGATCTTTTTTCTTTCATCAACTAAAATCATCTTTGAAGGACCTAGACGTATCTGGGAACTATGAGATCTGTTGAAAGAGCTTGTGAAATTCTATATATTGCAGAAAATACTTTCTAGGGACATAGACATGTTTAATTAAAATAATAAACTATGGAAAATTTTCCTTTGTCAAGCTACTACTGCTAAGCCTTATCCCAAACTAATTGGAGTCAGTTACAAAAATCCTTTGTATCTATTCTACTTTGTTTCTTGTCAAACTTGTTTCTATTCTACTTTGTTTCTTTGCCAAACTAGTTCTGATAAATTTAAAGGATTGCTAAAAATTGAAAATACACTTTAAACTATTGTCATTGGCCTAAAAGAACTTCTAAAAAGTAAAAGCGTGAATCACAAAATGCTTTTTAAGCTTTGTCTTAATATATATTTCAGTCCTTACTGTTTCAAAATAAAAAATTTTAATCCTTTACAGGTTTAGTTCATAAAATAATTAAACTTTAAAACATTTCAGTCCCTCAAAAATCTTTTGTACTTCTCAAGAGTATGTGTGTGTTTGTGTTATATCTCTCTCCCTATGCATGCTATAATATCAATTCATTTAGAAAGCCATCTAGTTCCTTGGTACTTTACCTCATCAAGGTCCAAATTTCCCTCGGAGACAATACTGACACTAGTGACAGTAGAATCATGCACATGGTCATGATGAGATTTACATTCCTGATGATGATGCCCTTCGTGATACTCTGTAACATTAAACTATGAGGAATCAATACATAGGAACTGTTTCATATGCGCCCATGTAAGGGAAACTTAAAATGTGATGAAAAAACAAAACATATTCTATACAAATGGAAGATATGAAGCATTAGTGTATTAAAAAATGAAACAGAAAAACAATTAATGTTTTGCTAAAAATAATGGCAGCAGCAGAAATCAAAGGCTATACTAGATGACAAATCGGCACAAGAGAACTCATTGCCAAGGCTCCTTCCAATCATTCAAGGGAAGAAGTTCAAAACAGTTGCCTTCCAAACAAAATGAGGATATGAACTCATGTAAAAAAGCAAAGAATAAAACCAATTAATTTTCCTTAATCTAGTAATGGAAACAAAGGCTCCATCAGAAGAGTCATTGGCATAAATCTCATGTCCCTATACAAAATTTCTGTTCCTTTGAATCATAAAGGGGATGGGAGCAATATTATAAACTTGACTCTTAGAAGTTTGAACAGCTAAGTTGTTTGGCTTTAAGGTCAAAGCTTCTTTTATGAGAGAACACAATTTTAAATGTTTTTGAAAGCAGTTTCAAGATTGTTTGCTTTTTCTTGAAGCTTTTTTATGATTCGAACACATGAAATTAACGCTTTCAATATATCATTTCTCTCAACAACTCAATAATATTTAACAAACTCTAAGGCCATTTCAAATACCAGTCCTGCAAACATTGGGTTCTAAAGAATCCAAGATTTATTTCGTTCATAAAATCAAATAGATCATTCAATAGTTATTCCATGGAACAGAATAGCTTTTCTTCACTCATATATACAATTTGTGTTTAAGAAATTTAGAAAATATTTAGTTCATTTTACAAATTATGACACATTTATAATTTCAACCAAAACTAGGTTATTAAATAGTTTTTCCACGTAACTAAAGTTTGAACTAAAAACCTAACTATTCGAATTCATGTTGTTCCATGAACCAAACAAGGACCTAATAACATATTAAATAACAGGACTGGAAACTACAAAGAAAACAGAAACAATGTTGTGGAATTGGTTTGGATAGGATAATTAGCTGCCATTCCACCAACTTTTTAAGGCCATCAGTAAAACCATCAAATCAACAATAAACAATACTTGATAAACATAAGTTGAAAAAAAAATTAAATTTACAACATATTAACTTCACAAAATAAACAAGACTCACATGAAAAAGCTGACGGTCACTTTTTATCTCATAAATAAATGATTCTTTGAAAATCAGAATTAGTATAATACTGAAGATTATGCTATCCAAGGTGCGGAGTGAGTCACAAGCTTGCTTGAGAACTAAAAATAGGGCAGCACTTATGTTTTTGGAAAAAAAAAAAAGGTGAGGAATGGCAAAAACAGTCATTTCTCATGTTTCATGTTTCATGTACCATTTCCAGTTGATTTGTGGAAAAATGAAAATGATATAACAGTAGGCTAAAATCCTATCATGACACAGATGATATATTATAAAACAGATATCAGCATCATGGATAGTCAAAAGCCATAGAGCATGTGCACATATTTGTGCATAATCCAGGCAACAAAAACTTGAAAGAGCATAATTTTTAGCCCAAAAGAATCTAATCGATGCAACAAAAAGTTAGGGAAGATCAAATTACTAGAAGCTAACATTTTTATTTGAATTCACAAAATTCTCTCAGCACCTTGTTTGCCACCAATAAATTACAAGCTTTTAATATTAACCTACCAACAAGGGGAGAATAGTTTCCTAATCTGAGAAAGAAAGACAAATAATATAGAAAAAAGAGGGAAGCGAAAAAGAAGAAAAAAAAAAGAAAAGAAAAGACAACCTCGTGCAGTGTGTTGATGTATTGCACCGCAAGAATTTTCTATATGAACTTCAGAATCAATCCTGCAGAAATCAAAAAATAAAAAATAAAATAAAAATAAAAAAGAATGAAATTAGCATTACACAGCAGGTTATGTTTATGCTTTACAAACTTACTATACAGTCCAAAAATATAAATCCATATGAAACGTGAAATTAGTATTAATCAGCATGTAACATGTTTATGCCTTACAAATTTATTATACAGTCCTAAATCCATATGAAGTTACACAAATATGATAAGGAAATAAAAAGAAATACAATACCATATGAGAAATTATGATTGAAAAAATAAACTGATTGCAAGAGAAAGATATGATGGGATTACTAGGTGAAGCAGAGCAGATAGCAACCTTTCAAGATCATATCCACATACTCCCAAGACAAAATCCACGTCAACAGATCCATATTTAGACAGCAAAAGTGGTGCCATCCCATTAATATGCTGAAAAAAAGAATTCAAAAAAGGAACCAGAAATTTAATGATACCTTTGTGAGAATTAGACCAAATGTCCGAATAGAAATGAAAAGGACTAGTATTAGGGAGTCAAACCACTACATTTCTGTTCATAGCTTCATGTTAAATTGTCAAGGCTAAAGTTATGTGATATGCAATTAGCATCTCACTAAAATAGGGAACTTTTAGACTTCAAATGTAATAGTTTTTGGCCACACAAGTAAAATGGATGCTTATGTTCAGGAAAGGAAACATAAGATCAAAATAATTCGAAGAGAAAGTAGATGACGCTTGAAGCATCAGATTCGGTTAATTCCACCGCCGCTTAGATTAGCTTAAGGATTAAGCTCTACAGCAGTACATCTCTTGGCACCACACAAACACAATAAACAGAAACCACGTGGTGTCATTGACCCAAATCAGACTAAATTCAGTCCAAATTAGCCGCCATTGCCCTGAATTTTCTAAGGCCATTAGCAAAATCACACAAATTAACAATAATTTAATAATTGTAAGTTCAAAAGAAAAAGGAATTTTAATAAAATATGTAAGCTATTAAGTGAATAGTAACTTAAGACTGTGTTTGGTAAGCAAGAAGGGGCATATTTATTTCTCATGCTGGTCAGAGTTCAATAACTACTTGGAAATCAAATAACTTCAGGCTACTATGCAGCTGCTTCTTACCACAACAAGAAATGAAATGAGTCCAAGTTGTCAACGTGTCTTAATTGACAAGAGGAAAATGTGACTTTTAACATATCTACCAAATCACTTTGTCCTTTTACATGATGCAACTGTTTATAAGCTAACATACCTCACAAGAGATTGCATGAAAAGAATACCCCAAGTTAATTTGATGCAACTAGTAAACAGATTTGAGATAAAATATTTATCGTTTTTAAGACTAAGAAAATAATAATTAAGAAAAAAGAACAATCACTAGTAAACCCATCCTCTCATATCGCTCTTCAACATTTTACTCCCATTTTTTCTTCATTTAAGCCAAACTCACGAAAGTGTGCAGGTTAACCCTTACCTTGATTCTCTTTGTCAATCTCTGTAATTCACTCTCAGACACCAAATCTATCTGTCAAGAACAATAAAACAAACAGCTAAATATGAGAATTAATAATGTCTAAACATGTTGAAAGCATGTAACTGAGTATCAGGAACTGGAACAGTAAGCCAAAGTGGTAAACTAACAATAGAGGCCAACACTATTAAGGAAGAAATTAAGTACCTTGTTCAGTATAATACGGTCAGCATAAGCAATTTGCTCTACTGCCTCATTCACCACAAATCTGGGCTTAACTTCATTTAAATGTTGCATGGCATGTTTGGAGTCCACCATAGTAACAACTCCATCCAATTTCACATGACGCGAAAGTAGTTCATCAGAACAGAATGTTTCTATGACAGGGCCAGGCTTAGCTAGTCCTGCAGAAAGGATTCCATTAACCAGCGAACTGGCAGAACTATTTAGAGCATCTCCAATGCTAATGTGGATTGTGGCTGATGTGTCATGTGAAATAGGAGGTGTGAACGATGATGTGGTTGAATGTCTATTTATGAACAATGAATTTTAAAAACTCTCTCCAATGTATTAGTTTTGAATCTTCTTCCATTCTCTTTTTTCTCTCTTTTCTGGTCTCACAATTAATATGCAACCAATCACCAAAGAGCAATTTTAGAGCATCTCCAATGGCTAATGTGGATTGTGGCTGATGTGTCATTGGATTGTGGCTGATGTGTCATGTGAAATAGGAGGTGTGAACGATGATGTGGTTGAATGTCTATTTATGAACAATGAATTTTAAAAACTCTCTCCAATGTATTAGTTTTGAATCTTCTTCCATTCTCTTTTTTCTCTATTTTCCGGTCCTATAATATAATATGTAACCAATCACCAAAGAGCAATAAATGTTAACGTTGTCTAAAAGACCCTCTAGAAATAGAAGGTGTAATAGATAATGTCTATTGATTTTTTTTACACATCAGCTTGATATCCTAAATAGACATTAGCATTGGACAGCATTTTTCAAAAAGTCTTTCCATTTTTCTGATGTGGCAATGGAATAAGAGCAACCCACATTTGCATTCGAGATACTCTTAGTACCATATTGAATGCATTTTTTACATGTTGATTTTGAAATTTTACTTCAACAAGTCTACTAATTCCAACATAAGAAACATACATTCGATAGGAGAATTAAAAAGATTATTATAAAACTCTTCCAGGAACAAGGATGAGAAGGCCATAACTGATATGAGGCTCCAAGAAATTGACCCAAATATTTAAGCATAGAAGAGAAAAAATAGATCCTTTATCAAGTAAAAGTAGTTAATCATATAAACATACCATTTTTGCTTTCTCGGAAGAAATGGGATACCATAGTTTTTGAAAACTAACGCTGAGATTTGGACTATGAGAGGTTAATAAAACATCAAACGTTCAAGCAGAACTGTTTCAAGATTTGGGTGGGCGAAATGTGGGATGAGGGGTTTAATCATATAACTATGGTTCAAGACTAAAATATAAACAAGTACTATGATTGTAGTTACCTGTGGTTTCAATAATGATGTGATCAAATTTCTCTCTTTTCTTCTTAACCAACTCCAAAAGCATTTTAACTAGATCTCCCCTCACAGTACAGCACAGGCAACCATTGTTGACCATAATTATATCTTCACTTGCAGACGAATGGCTAGCAACCAATGATCCATCAATATCAACTTCACCAAACTGCAAATGCACTAATTAAAATGAGCAATAAATAAAATCAATCCCACTAGTTTGCAGAAATCACTACACTCTTAGCAATTTCCAATCTGGATTCTGAATCATGGACAATCACTGAACTTAACATGCAAACACCCATGACAATGGAACAAAGATTTTTAATCTGACAACCCTTATATTCTTTCACTGGCTGGATTCTGAATCATGCATCAGACTGCATTTTGACATCCAAACAACCATGGCTATGGAACAAAGAATGTCAATCTGATAAACCTCATATGGTTTCACAGCCTGGAAGCTTTCAATGTCAGAATGGAACAATTTTAACTTTCTATAAAATGGAAATGGTTATCATGGTACTGTAAATGCTTTTCGCATTTTTCTATATGCAAAAATTTAATTATTACACATTTTTCATTAGTGATAACCATACGTTTTTGTTTATAGGTGCAAACCAATTAAGCAACCATGCATACGTATATGTGTATGGTGCAGAAGAGTGGTAATGTGAAGAATTCGCAAGTTTTAACAAAGTATATTGTACTTTGTCTACAAATATAAAGTGGGTATGAAAAATCCTAACAAAAAGAAAAACCCAAAAAGATTGTTACGTGAAGTTAGATATAGAGAGGACAGAATATATATTCATAAGAGATTAAGATGTTAGACCTCATTCTCTATCACTGCAATCCGCTTCCCATGTTGAGCAGTCAGAATATGATTCAGAAGAGTGGTCTGCAATTTTTAATTAAAAAAATCCACGAAAAATTAAAATCAATCAAATAACTTCGCTTGTAAAATATGGCTGTGTAGAGTCGTCATAAATAAAATGAGTCACCTTTCCAGAGCCTAGAAAACCAGTGATTACTGTGGCTGGTACGCGATTTTCCAGAGCCAGAGCAGCGGGACCACCTTCTTGAATACGGGAATCGACAGAATGAATGCTTCTGAGGAACTGGGAAACCGGCGAAGATTTTAGGAGACTCTGCCGCAGAAGTCGGTGGAGATTGCTGGGCGATGTTCTTGAGATTAGAAACCGGGTGGCCATTTTGAGTGTCGGAGAAGAGTGCATGCCTCTGCCCGCGAACCTAAACCCTGAGGGTTAGGCAAGAGAGAGCATTTCAATTGGTCTTCGTTTTATACGTTTTAACTGATTTAATTTTTTATTGTGTAAATTAGTTGGTTTATCTTATTTACACAAAGAGTAGGACTGGACCTCAAATGACAGATGGCAGGTCTTGAATTCGCGTGAATATTTAAATATTATTTTAATAATTATTGTAGTTAATTATGTTATTATTTTTTATAAATTATTATGAATAATTAAATGTTTAGGAAGAAAAATAAATAACGGTAAATATCAATAATTTTTAACAAACAAAATTATAATATTATTTGAAATATCATAAATATTTTTAAATATGTTATTCTTAGTTAATTCTTCAATAATTTTTAACAAACAAAATTATAATATTATTTAAAATATCATAAATATTTTTAAATATGTTATTCTAGAAAATATGTTATGTCTTAGTTAATTCTTACAATAAATTCAATAATTTTTAACAAACAAAATTATAATATTATTTAAAATATCATAAATATTTTTAAATATGTTATTCTTAGTTAATTGTTAGTTATACAAAAGTAAACAACACTAAACTCATAATATAAATGGATATACTCGATATATATAACAAATCAATTAATTAATATTTTATTTGTAGTACATATCAATTGCTAAGTATATTATTGTCACGACCCGTTTCCATGGACCGGACCGGCACTAGAGCTCAGGTAAGCTTAAGGCCCCCGAGGCCCGTAGTAAGTCTAAATTATCCAATATGTCTACCTATCTTTTCCAATTTCATCAAAACAGTAAAATTTCATCAAACAGTAAAACCCATATACAACATCTGGCTCCAATCTCAAATAACACATAATGTATACACTAGGTGCCCCTATTCCACATAAATTATAATCACATTATGGGGCTTAGTGGTTCACTTGCAGGCAAATTAACATAATATTTAATTTTATAAGTGTAAGTGCTAACAAATAAGTCCAAACATTAAATTACCACAGACCCTATAACTTTTTTGCGGAGTTGCAATAATAATCTATAACTGCGGAGTCCAAAAATAATCTGATAACAGAATAATTTATACATCCAAAATTAAATAACATGAATATAAAGTTTACATTTGTAACTCTGCAGAGAAGATTGCAGAGCTTCAGCCGAATCAGCTGCTTCCTAGTACCTGGAAGGTTTGTTGGGGAGGGGTGAGTTTTGCAACTCAGTGAATAATAATAAATAATACACACCACATACAGTCAAGCAAAATGCACCATAATATACTGAATGAACACACAACAGTCAATCATATGACATTACATCAGCACCCACAAACAATATCACCTTCAAATAATCACATCACGTGGAAATTAGTGTGGAAATTAGTCAGTGGAGTCATCGAACCCCGATGAGCCGTCCTCCCACATGGCTCATCCTCTCACGTGTGCACCAGGGAGCCAATCCCCCATTCTGGCCGACCGGTTCAATTCTCACACAACCAGTCCTCTCATTATTTTTCCAGTCTTTCCCTCTTTTTTTATTTTATTTTTATTTATTTTTTTTTTATCAACAGGAGGCAACTCGGTCGTCTCCATCAAATCTAGATCATCAGGCGCTCACAACAGGAGGTCACCCTGCGGGCTGCGATCAAATCTAGATTATCACGCTCAACAACAGGAGGCCACCCTGCGGGCTTGCGATCAGATCTAGATTATCAGGTGCACCCAATAAAGAAGCCACTGTGGTTTTACATAACACACATGCATAGCGGTTAGGATGCAGCACGGGGGCGCCGATCTCACCGTTTTACCCGGCCAAATTTCATATCAATAATTCAGGATCCATATTTCAACATTTACCAATTCTCAGCAAAACCCATGGTGACCCACTTCAAACCATCCCAATCCACACAAACAAATCAACAGCAATAGCCAGCAAGCAACAAATAATCAGACAATTCAATTCAATCATAAACACAATTTCATCCAAATGCACAATTATATACTAAGTATAAATTATAGTGGATCGTAAACATAATATATATGATAACAATTACGTAATAATATATTGTAATTATATAAATAAAAATATAATGTTTTATAAATAAATGTTATGCAAATGGCAGTGTTGATATGCATTATTTATTATTAACTGACTACAGTGATGGGAGGAGCCGAAAGTTCTAGCTTTGAACCTCTGTCCTGGAGGAGCACTAGATGGACCCGGGGCGATTAAGAAATTTTAAGATGACACAAAACAAAAGTAACTATATCAGATAAGATTTCTTTAACCACTCTAATTTTATTTTATACTCTTAATTTTTCTACGTAATCTAATCTCGATATTAATTTCTTTTCTATAATAAATTTTATTTCTCTACCGAACTCTATTTTATTTATTTTCTTTTGAAATCTATTTTATTTTCTACTATTTTCTACTCTCTATAAATAATTAAATTTCTATAATGAATTTTATTTGCTATCAAAATTCATTTTATTTTCTACCGAAATTTCGGCAGCATCTCCCCTAAAAATTGGATTATTCACCTGTTAAAATATCAACAATTTATCTAATAACTCCAAACCACACAGCCCATTCATGGGCAATCAATCAATTCAATTTTCTCATCCTCCATCCGAATATCAATATCAACATTACCTATAATTCTCAATTCTTCATTTCATTCCATTCATGATATTATCATCAAAATTATAAATTATTTCATACTGAATTTAATTTTAACTAACTATTGTTTTTATTAATCAATAATTACTTCATGTTAATTAATCAATAACCATTTTGAATTAATTTTAACTAACATTGCTAAATTAAATTAACTAAATTAATTAACTACAATAATAAAATTAATTTAAGTAACTAAAATTATTAGCATTAATTTTATTACCCCAAAATATAATCTTTTGTCAAAATATAATCTTGTCAAAATTTTTCGCTAGATATCGAGGAGTTTTTTAATGTGTGCCGGATCAAAAGGGCAGTAACTTGCCAGTGCCAGATCCAACTGACAGTGGGCGGAGACAGTGGGATCGCGGCGGTGGCAAGCGATCTGGCGGAGGAGCGGCTGGCAAGCGAGGCTTGAAGCTCTGGTGGCTGCTGTTGTAGGCGCGACAGGCTGGCAGAGGGCCTGACTGTGGTGCGCGGTAGGAGCGCTGCGGGACGTGCTGGCGCGCCGATTGGAGGTGGTAGCGACTGCAACTGGCACGCGGTGGTGATCGACTGACGTTTGCTGGAGGCTGCTGGAGGCTTGCTGGAGTTGCTGGCAGTGACCACAGTCAGGGAAGAAGAAAGGGAAAGAAAGAAAAGAAAAAAGGAAAGAAAGAAAGAAGAAAAGAAAGAAGAAGAAGAGAGAGAAGACGGTGGTGCAGAAAAATGGTGAGGGAGGGTGAAGTTTGCGCTGGATATAGAAGGGGAGGAGGCCTTCTAGAAAGTGGTAAATGGGCTTGAATTCGGTTTGATTCTGGTTTGATTTCAAGCCCAAATCTACTTGGTTTTCTTTTGATTTGCCCGATTTTCAAAATTGGTTTTCGATTCGGTTTATCACTGTACAAATTATTAATTTGGCATTTAAATAAATTAAATACATTTCCAGGCTGTCCGTTTATTAAATTTAAATGGAAATCTTTAAAAATAAAATTCGGGTTATTTCAATTACATGTATGAGAAAGTGTTTTGTAAGAATAGAATATATTGCCAAATATCAAATGCCTAAAATCAAAATAAGAGGAATGGATTTTGGCAAATCTACAGATAATATCATACCTTATTTAAATAATATATATATATATATTATATTTTAAAAAAATTTAAAATTTAAATTATTTGCTAATCCCAGACACATATAATGTTTCATTTTATTTAAAATAAGTTTTTGAAAGTAAAAATTTAAAAAATTTTAAGGTTTAATTATATATATTCTATTTGAAAATTTTATGTTTTATAAAAATAATCTAATCAAAAATCATGTAAACATAAAGAAAAAATGTTAAATAAAAATATATTTTTTTTTTCTTTTTATCTCTCTCCTAAATAAAATATTATGTATATTCTAATGACAAATTTATATTTTAAAAAATATAACCAATCAAATCATACAAATATAATGAAACAGAAATATTAATAAAACGATATTTTAAAAATATAATTAAAAATAGAATCAAATATTTTAAAAAACAAAAATATAAAAATTTTAAAAAAATCTCTTTATCATATATATTTATTAAATAAATATAAATAGATCTTTATCATATATATTTATTAAAAATAAATATAAATAAGATAAAAGATAAAAATAAAATTTTATCAATATATAATCAACTAACAAAATATAATTTTCTAATTGGTTATCACTAAGTTTATTGTAGCATATTCTAAATTTCATTAAGGTCATTATCAAAAATCACATTATTCCTCCCCTATTTCTATATTTACATATAATATAGATTAGAATAAATATAATGATTAATCTATATCGCACTTTATTTATATTATGAATATTTTTTTGTTACATGTCTTGCTCTAACATTAAATTGAAAAGAAAATTAACATGTATTGTTACTCATTTTAAAATTAATGCTATAACTTAATTTTCTCCCTTTTAATTAATATATACTTTATAAAATAAAAAATAAAAGGACTACAATTTCAATAAGGGTGATACAAGGTCAAACTCGTTGAAAAAAAAAACTATTACTAATCGTTAAATTAAAAATAAATTTAAAGGCAACTAAAAATTTTGAAATATCGAAATTTATATTTAACATACAACTACTTTTATTACAACTCTTTCAAGATTTTTTCTTTGCTAAAAATAAAAAGACTTAAAAATGACATAAATAAATATTAATATGTAACTTAAAAATCAATGCACAAACAATAATATTGATATGAAAGATCATCTCTCAAATTTATAGAGAGATATATATGATATTAAATTCAAAATTTTCAAAGTCATAAATATTTATTTAAAAAATGTTAAAAAAAAATTAAAATTTCAATGGTCTAATTATCTTTATACCCATTTTAAAAATTAATTTTTAAAAATAAATCTTAATCACTCAAACTC